CCCTGTCCACCTTGCCCCTGCCCGCCCTGTCCACCTTGCCCCTGCCGGCCCTGTCCACCTTGTCCCTGCCTGTCCCTGCCTACCTTGCCCCCTGCCTGCTCCTGCCTGCTCCCCCTGCCTGCTCTCCCCCCTGCCTGCCCCTGCCCGGAGCTGCCTGGCCCATTGGGCCCCTGCGATGCTGTTTCTCTCTGTTTCAGGAACTCCAACAGCAAAAACGACCGGAGGAACCGCAAGTTCAAGGAGGCGGAGCGGCTCTTCAGCAAGTCCTCGGTCACCTCGGCAGCAGTGAGTGCCAGGCCGGGCCCGGGTGGGGCCGAGCAGGTGTCCCCATCCCTGTCCCTGGGTGCTCCTGGGTCCCGTGGTCGTCACCCGGGCTGCTGCAGGAGCAGTTTTCCATTTAAGCTCCTGTACCTGCCCTGTCTCCCCTGACCCGAGCATCTTTATCCCACGTTGCAGCTTCTTTCAGAAACCCTTTTCCTAGTGCCCAGAGAGGTGAAAGGGAGTGGCAGTCAAGAGCCACCCATGCCACACACTTGTCACTGCCATCCGTGTCTTTATCGCTTTGCTCCTAACCCCCCCTGCTGTGCCGTGCTGGTGCTAGGTCGCAAGCCCTTTCGAGCAGAGGCCCGATGTGCCTCTCTGTGAGGTGATCCCTGGTGTTTCCAAACGTTTGAAAAGTGGGAAGTGAATTACCGCGTCCATTAACATCCCTTTGGTTTTCTAGGCGGTCAGTGCATTAGCTGGAGTTCAGGACCAGCTCATTGAGAAGCGTAAGTCACTTTTTAATTTCTCTCAGAATTTGGAAAGGATTACACTTCTCCCCACCATTCAGCTCTGTCTCCGGTTGTCTGGATCCGTGCCGTGCTCGCTGCTCCCCTGCAGCGCTCCCTGCCCAGGCACCTGAGGCTGCTCCGCTCAGGCCGGCTCCTGAGCCCCCCCAGCACGAGCTCTAGCTACAAAAGCCAGCAGGCTGTGGGAAACAAGTAAAGTTGAGCTTCCTTTCCCAAGTAGGCTTTTACACTCAGCAAGGGCTTATTGTGCGTGAAGCTTATTTAAATGGATTTGGTGCTCTTCGGAGGAAGGGGTTGGAAGAGCTGAAGCAACGCGTTCCTGTTTGTCTGTCAGTCGGTTGCAGGTGATGTGGGGAGAAGCCTCTTATGTTCAGGAGTTTTAAAACTGTGTTTGTAATCGATACCAAATCGGCTGCAGCTCTAGCGTGCTTCAGTTGTGGAGGACGTAGCTTGCTGTCCTTCAGAAATATTTTTCAGGTTCTCTTATCTATCTCCTGGTGCCAGAGGGCTCAGCGTGTCCCTGCCTCCCCGTGGACTGTTGCGGGGGGCTGCTGCTTCCGCGGCGGGCTTTGCCAGGGCGGGCTGGGATGCGAGCTGCGGGGAGGTAACCGTCGTCTCCTCTGTCTTTGTCGTGCTCTAGGGGAGCCCGGCAGCGGCACAGAAAGTGACACCTCCCCAGACTTTCACAACCAGGAGAATGAGCCCAGCCAGGAGGATGCTGAAGAGCTGGATGGGTCTGTGCAGGGGGTGAAACCCCAGAAAGCTGCTTCCTCTACTTCTTCTGGGAGCCACCACAGCAGCCACAAAAAACGGAAGAATAAAAATCGACACAGGTTAGTGGTACCAGCAGCCTTCTTGTCGTGCTTCTGGATGGTTTAGCCCTCGCTGAGTTTGCTTTATTATTTGAAAGGATCTCGTAACTTGTTAGAATGATGAGCAGCCCAGGTCATTTGTTGTGGTAATTTCTCTGGTTTTCAGTTGTAGCGTTCATCAGGACCCCATTGCCCCGTGGTATTGAGGAGGGGAAGGCAAGCTGAGGAAGTTGAACACGCAGTCAGCCCAGGGCACTAACCCCCGCTCTGTGCTCCCGACCTGGCCTTTCCAACTCTCCTAGCTGTCCAGGAGGATAAAGCGGTCTTCCTTGCAGGAGGGGAAGATTGCAGTCCTGCCCTCCTGTGCTTGCTTCTTGGTTTCTGCAGAACCAAGTAAGATAGGAATGTCAGTAAGTTCTTTGGAAAAGAGGGGTGAAAAACCAAATAGGAATGTTTTGGGGGTGGCGGGCACTCTTCGCTAAGATTTCCCCTCCAAGCCCTTGCAGTTTTCGGTGTCCCGAACTGGGTCTCCTGTGATTATGGCGTGGAAGAGTTGCTTTGTCACATAAACCTCAAAGCGTTTGTTATTAAACTGACCCGACGTTCACGTGACACAAAGCTGTTCTGAACTCTTCATGGTCGAACGTAGATGTTCTGCCCCTTGAGGTACGCCCCTGAGGCGTGCCGCAGCCCGGCGGGCCGATGGCTCGGGAATCTGAAGTCGACTCCCTGCCTTAGGGTGCTGCGCTCTCCATGGGCCAGCACCGCCGGCTGCTTGGCCGTGCCCGGGTGCCCCTCAGCAGAGCTTGCCCGAGGATTTCTACCGAGTACGACAGCGCACTGTGGGGTCACACCCTAAGGGGACAAAATGCATGGAAATCTGTGCTTTTGGAAAGAGGAGAGGCTGCAGAGCTGCACCTCTGGAAGCGGTTGCTGGAACAGGAACCTAAACATCATTAGAAACAAAGGAGCTTTTAAAAATCAAGCGTTCTTGCTAACTTGGAGCTTGTTGGCTTTGTGCACGGATGGGATTTCTTCTTTAAGGGACCCTCCCATACAGTTACAAGAGAGATGTTAAAAGTGGTAGAAATTTATAAGGATTGCTGGGGGAAGGTTGGTTTGGGAGATATGGAGGTAGGTATAGTATCTGAGAAACCTTTAACTACTTTTTCTCCTTCATTAGGCCTTGAGCCGTTAGCGTGTCTTTAATTCTTAGATCAGAACTCTCTCCCTGCAGCAGTCTTAGTTGGGCAGACACCCCAAGGTACTGGATGTCCCTTTGGTTCCTCGTGCGCTGGGAAGCCAAAGCAGTTTCAAACTCTTCCTTTGCCTGTGGACAATTGGGAAGAAGGTCAGGACTGATAGAAGAAACTACATCTGTGCACAAGTTCAGAGGAACGATCTGTAAAACTGGAGTGCAGCCCAAGAAAATCGCTATTTCAGGCAAATTATCAAATATTCTACTAGGACTTCCATGGACAGCGAACCAGGCTGCTGCAGGCGCAGAGGGGGCAACGCAAATGCTGTAAATAATAGAAATTCTTTTGCTCCGTTACCTAACCTGAGCTGTAGTGACGGGAGTTAGGAAGAAACTGCCCCGCTGGCAGGTGGCGTTGGGCTGGGGTTTCTTCTGCGTGCGTCCCTTCTGCTGCAGCTGCTGCTGCTGGGGACGGAGCGTGGGCCCCGCGGAGCCCTGCCCTGATCTGGTACGGCGATTCTCCGCGTCCTCAGAGAGGCGTCGGACGCTTCGCCTTACGGAACGGCTCTCACCATCAGTAACGGACTATTTTGTAATGCTTAGCGTGGCCAGGTAGAAAATGAGAAGATGATGATAATTAAGTTTGTCTGCAATAAAGACACCATTAAAATCGTGAAGGCCGTTACTGACTATGCCCTAAATTTTGGCAGAAAAGACCAAACAATTGTCAATGTAGGCTAAAAAAAGCCAACAACAAAACAGTCCCCGTCTGCTGCAGGTGTAGCCAAGGGCTCTGAAAGGCACCGGGGCCCAGAGGGCTCTTTGGCAGAGACCTGCGCCTCTGTTTCTCGAGTCAGCAAATGAAGGCAAGAAAAAGAAATATTGGCGTTTCTTTTCGTTCAGAGGCTCTTCCCTTCACCAGCATCGCTCGCGTTCTGCTCGCCTGTTCCTGAAGACCTGGGAGGTGTTGGGAACGGGCACCCTGAAGGTGCTCTGGCCCCACGGGGTTTTCGGCTTCTCGTGCCACCGAGAGCAGTGTAGGAAGCTGGATTCAGATGGGGCAGAGCTGGTGCAAGCAGGCAGTTTAACTTCGACCAGTTAGAAACAGGGAATGGGGTGGCAGTTCCAGTGTCCCCATTGAAGGGGGGCCAAGATGATTGGTTTCTGCGTGCTCAGCAATTTTCCTGGCTAAAAAGTATTTCACGAGAAAATTCAGTGCTGGAAAGCTACCGAGTTAGAGCCGATGAGAGGCCGAGTCCTTTCCAACAAGCACGGTTGGCGGCTTTGGGGCAGAGCTCTTTCTGCAGACAGCGCCGTGGGGCCCGTGAGAACGCCGAGGCGAGGGGTGGGGATGTCTCCAAACTGCACCGAGCTTTGGCCAATTGACCAGGTTCTCTTTTCAGCTCACTGAGGAAGGGAGTGCAAGAGGACGTGTGTATGTGTGTGGATTACGAGAACACCCGAATGCAAAGCCGGCCACGTAGTTCTGTGCTGCCTCCGCCTGAGCAAGCTCTCCTTGGCCGTAGCGACCTGGGCAGAGCCGCTGCTTGCTGACCGCCCGCTCGTTTGGTTTTGCAAGCAGATCCCTCTTCCTCCCTGCCCGTGAGCTGGCGTGCGCTCTCACCTACCCGATAGCCTCCTTTTGCAGCACCTAAAATCCCTCCGTAACACCACTCCGCCGCTGGTCTAACACCTCTTGGTCCCAGACATCCGATTGGGGAGGGGGACTCTGGATTGCCAAATCTGGAGTGCTTTTTGTGCCCAATTCTGGTTAAGATATCTGAGGAACTTTATGGCATTTGAACACTGGCTTTATTATTTTTTTACTTTCTTTTTATTTTTTAGTAATCTCGCTAGGGTGGCTAATCAACTAATTTATTTAATTCATTAGTATATTAATTTCTATTGCTTTCTTCCTTTCAAATGCTGCCCCTCAGCCCGTCTGGCATGTTTGATTATGACTTTGAGTAAGTTTGACTTGAATTAGTACTTGTGCTGTGTTGTTAGTGTGTAGACACCAATGTGCCTTTTGAGACCTTTCTAACCCGTAGTTTATCTGTTTAATTGTAGGTATGTATATTAGGTTAGGCTGGGAAGTTTTTTTTAAAAACAGAAAAGCGTGATGGAGGTAACATTTTATTTAATAACTTCAGCAAAATCAAATTAACTTCACTCTTCTTTACCTTTCTATTTCATTTTAAAATAGATAAACCTTTTAACTTAAAAACTTTGTTTAAAAAAACTGATTCTTCTGGCTTTGCTTCTTAAGGAGACTAGTGTAGACTTGGAGATTTCCTTCTGGAAAGATGTAATAAGCTCAGTGCCTTTGGCTCGTATTACCCCTGCCGTCCTAAACGCCTCTCTCTACTCCAAGTAAATAACCATTCCCACTATGGCTGGGTAATTACCCGTGGCATAGTTACACGTCTAACGTAGAGCATGCGTATTTAACCGTAGTTCTTTATGCTGCACAACTTCCCCGTGATTTTGTTATGAACCTTTATTAACTGGGGTTTTGAGTGGACGGAATATGCGTTTAATAAAGAACCCACTCTCTGCCCCTTTGCTGCTCTCTTGCCCAGTAACGCTGGGACAGTGATTGGGCTCAGCCGAATGAGAATGTGGATTGAATTAACCAAATAGTCTCTGTTGTAGCCTGTGCCATATGCAGTAGCTGGTTCTTTGAACTCTGGTCTTGGTTTAATGTATTGAAATGGACATTTCTCTTATCTTTCCAACCACAGGATTGATCTCAAGTTAAACAAAAAGCCAAGAGCCGTAAGTATCAGTGCTCTGTCGTTGTTTTCATTGATCACCTCTAGACTTGAGTGGCTGACTGACTCCTAATCTTGAGAAGCCGCCCTCTGTTGTAATTTAAGATCTTGTTTTCATGGGTGAGGAACACCGCGGTACGAAATAAGCATTGTCTTGTGGATTTAATAGTGAATAAGCCCAGGTAGGCTCGTTATGAAGCCAGGTCACAGTTAACTCCCACGCACTCCTAAAAAGCTGTTTTGCATCCTGTTGTCCTGTCATGAGCTGGAACGTTAAAAGCGTCTGGTTGGAGTTGATGCGTTCTTGAACTAAGGTTTTGAAGGGTCCTTGCTTTTGAATGTTTAGCTACAAGAAAAAAAAAAAAATCTCTTTTCTGTTTTGCCTGCAACTAACGGCATGTAGAAAAGAGGGGAGACTGAGAATCCCAGCCCTGCAAGCGGAACTGAGGGTAGGAAGGTCGTAATGCGCCTGTCCTTTCCTTTCTCTGCAGGACTACTAGACTCATCAGCGCTGATGCGTCTGGGATTTAGGTCTACATGAATCCCCACCAAGAAGAACGCCAGTCGACTGAACGAGCACGATGGCAGCTGTCTGGCCAAGTGTCTGCAGATGGGAGCGCTTAGGTGGGGGGAGAGAATCTTGGACCATGTACTTTGCATCATTTTTAAATCACCTGAGTTGCAGGAAGACTAAGGTGGTGTAGTAGTGGTAGTCCTGAATTCCTGACTATTCTGTGCTTCCACCTCAGTCGGGAACTTCCTAAAATTGGCTGATCTTGCTGCTGCCGCCCCTGTCACCTGCAGACCCACGGAGAGGTATTCCGTTCTCCCCTGGACCTGGGGTGTGATTCAGTATGTCCCAGCCGTGTTGTAAGGCTTAGATTACTTCTGTTGGTGATACTTGGCTTCGTAGTTTTGGTTTGGTTTTGGTTTTTTGTTGTGTTCTGTTGTTGTTTTGTTTTGTTTTTTTTTATAAACCAAAGTGTATAGCTAACAAATTGACTTTTGGTTTCTTTGTTTTAATCCATGTAGAGTCAAAGGTTCTTCATTATGTGGAACAGCTCATTTTGGTTCTTACTCAAGCAGAGGAGGTGGTGGTTCACCCTTTCCTCTGACTTTAATTTTAAACACCATCCCCTAAAATCTACGCAGCGCTTTTAGATGCAGGGAAGGCTGGAGCTCAAAGCCATCTTGCTCTTTGCTGTCTTTGAGGTTAGGCGGATTCTCTTTTTAATACAAACTTCTGTCATTTGTATATAAACAATAAAAGTTACATGTTTGTCTCTCTTCTCACGTTTTGTTCAGTCCAAAATTTGACTCCTAGTGCTTTCTGTTCTCCATCTGCTTTAGGGGGGCTCTGCTGGAATTCATCCACTCTTGCACAGTAGCTGGTCTTGTCTCCTGGCTCGGAGGAGGCTCCTTTGTGCTCTCTTTCCTCGGGTAGACGTAACCCGGGGTACTTGAAAGGATTGCCAGGCGCTAATCTCCAGCTATGTTCAACTAATCCCGCTTCAAGGTAGGACTCGGATGTAAAAGTCAGTCCTTGCTGATACTGGCAGGATGCCCGCAGATAAGGGATGAGCAGCCGGGACTGCCGCTGGGAGAGCGCCCAGCGGGCGGAGCATTGGGTGCTTTTCGCAGTAGCCAGGTCAAGATGCCAGTGCCGATGTTGAAATAGGCTTTGCTCTTCTCGAAGCGGCAAATTGCCTTCGTTACCAGTGCAGTAATGCGTTTGTGTCTGCAGGAACACTGCCGACGGGAGAAGGCCGTGGGAAGAGCATCGCTTGCAGCCCCCCCGTAGGCGCACGTGCGCTCGTTAGAGCTGAGCGTTCGTTCCGTGCTGCTACACCCCTGCGTTCCTCGCGTCTTGGGGGCGTCTCCAGCTCCCTCCGGGCAGCCCAGCCAGTGCAGAGCGGTACCCGAGAGTGAAGGCAGATGTATAGGAGCGAAGTTCTCCCTTGTTCTGTTGTCTGGTTCAGGGATCAAGGCAGCTCCGTGTGTGTTCGTGGTGGGAGCTGGTTTATCCCGCAGCGGGGCGAGCGGCTGGCACTGCTGTCGGGGGCCGATGGCCGCTCATCTGTGGGGGGTGTCGGGATGTGACAGCTTCATGAGACAGTGGCAAAGCTGCCCTACTTTTCTGTATTTTAAGTTACAGAGGTTAAATACAGGGGGGTGGAAGATCTAGGAAATGGCATAAGCTCCTCAAGGGCCTTGCTTTTCTGTAGTTCTGGGAAAAAGAAGTCTTGGCTGATGGTTTTTGATCACTTGGCCTTGGTACAAAAGCAGCTTTTCTCCCACTGCTGTTCCAACACAAGGCTTGCAGGAGCACCTGAACTTCAGAGGGTAAGAATCCTTGCTGCACCTCTTTGACCCCGAGGAAAGCTGCTCTGCCTTTGGCCAGAACATTCACCTGTGGAGAAATAGCAAAGGTCTTGTGTAGCTTGGAGTCCTGTGGCTTTTTTGTGTTGCAGCATCGCTCAGCTCCGCTTTCCCTGTGACAGGCGTTGGGGGTGCTGTGGGGACAAGGGGGGGGGACACAACCTTTCCGGCCTCCGGCAGTGTTTGTCCCTAAAGGAAGGGGACAGCCTGTTCTGCCGAGGGCTGTGTCTGATGGCAGCAGCCCCGGGCAGCCGGCGCGTTGATCAGGGCAGGAAGGTGAACGGCAGACGCCTGGTTCGCAGCCACGGGAGCCCCGTTCCGCTGATGCGCAGCTATTCCCTCTGGCTGCTCCGAGACAGATGAAGTGGCCGTGGGGCCCGGTGCGCTCTGCCCCAGCGGAGGGAACGGGTCCTTGGGGGGGCGGCGTGCGGGGTCTCTGGTTACTCGGGGAGCATAAGCACTGCTACCTGCAAGAGTGTCGTGAGCTGGATGCTGGAGTCAGACTCCAGCAGTTTTGCCTAAAATGTCTATTTTATTTCTGAAGGCTTCTGGTTTTCTTCCCAAGCAGCCTTAGTGACCAAAGACCCCCAGGACAGCCGGGGCCTGGCCTTGGACCTGGCGGTCAGAGCGAGCTGCGCAGGCTGTTACCTGAACGGTAACGAAAGCTAAAAGGAGCAGTTAAAAATAAATCCCAAGTCCTTTGCTTGCAGAAGATGGAACCTGAGCAGAGCGAATGAGGCAGAGCAGCAACTGTCCTTATGGCCACCAAAGGTAGAGCAGGAGAACGGCTAATCCCCCGCACAGCCTCGTCACCAAGAGGATTAGGCAGGCATTTACTGAGCCCCAGCAAGCGGCCGAGCAGCAGCCGAGAGCTGACACAGGGCGGGAGGAGCAGCCGCTGCCCCGGG